TTCTTATTTTCTTTATTTTTATTTGACAATATAGTTTTTTCCCTAAACATAGCACATACCCAACCGTACCGAAACCATGACTCTAAAACCGAACCGTGAGTAAGTTGAACCGTTGCACCCCTACTATCTATTTATCTATCTTTAGGGGTGCAAAGGTTCAACTCACGGTTCGGTTTGTCTCACGGTTTTAGAGTCACGGTTTCGGTGCGGTTCGATATGTGCTATGTTTAGGGGAAAAACTATATTGTCAAATAAAAATAAAGCACAGAGAGCTTAATATTTGCACGCATTCTGAGACGCGGGTTCATGCGCTTCAGATGAGCGACCACACAGATCTTCTCACTGTGCGCGCGAGCTCGCGTCCTCTGGCTCTTTAATATTTAAACTGGCAAGGCTTAAATGAGTTTAGTTTAAACCCAGATAGCAACGTGTGCTGTTCAGGTCTCACCTGCGTTATCAACACGTGATGAGGGCATAAATGACAGTTATTCCAGCATAAAGCACTCGCATTGATTAAAGAGTGACTGGTTTGTCCACATATTGTTTTTTTCTCTCTCATCACTCTTGTTGTAATGTATTGGGAAGCCAGAATTTGTATCCATCAACAGAAACATGCATTAGCCGAACTCTAACAAACCATATTACAGATGCATTGTCGGATTTAAGTTGAACCGCGGTCCTAGTGTATGCCGAACCATGTGAGGAGAACCGTACGGTTCGAATTTTTACCGAGAACCGTTGCACCCCTACTATCTATCTGTCTATCTATCATCCATCCATCTACCTACTTTGTGTTACTAACTAAAATTTCAGTAACTGAAGTAAAATAAAAATAAAAATAAAATAAAAATGTTGTCTTGGCAAATAGCTTTAGTTTAGGTAGAAATACTAAAAATATTCAAAAGATAAATGAAATAAAATAATAAAAAATACATGAAATAAAAATAAAGATAAATTGAAATATTTAAAAATGACAATTAAGAATATCAATTTAAAGAAAATATTTAAAGAAACATGACAAAAGCACATAAAATTACTAAAACAATCTAAAATTAAAACGAAAACTTAAAATATAAAAATAAATGATAATAATTAATAAATACTATAATAATAAATGAATAATAGTAAAATAACCATGCTAACTATCTATCATCTACCTACCTGCTTATTTATCTAGGCAAATTTCAGTTTAACACAATCAGTAATAGGAAAACTCATTCATCCTTTTCATGAGGTAAAACATTCTGTAATCTATTCGATTAGATTCGAAGTATGTCCTCATAAAAGGCTCACCTTATCTCATGAGTTCACTTTTGTTTTTATTGAAATGTGATATACTGTACACACTCTATCTATCTATCTGTCTGTCTATCATCTCTGTCCATCCATCTACCTACTTTGTGTTACTAACTAAAATTTCAGTAACTGAAGTAAAATAAAAATAAAAATAAAATAAAAATGTTGTCTTGGCAAATAGCTTTAGTTTAGGTAGAAATACTAAAAATATTCAAAAGATAAATGAAATAAAATAATAAAAAATACATGAAATAAAAATAAAGCTAAATTGAAATATTTAAAAATGACAATTAAGAATAAATATTTTCTTTAAATTGACAAAGAAACATGACAAAAGCACATAAAATTACTAAAACAATCTAAAATTAAAACGAAAACTTAAAATATAAAAATAAATGATAATAATTAATAAATACTATAATAATAAATGAATAATAGTAAAATAACCATGCTAACTATCTATCATCTACCTACCTGCTTATTTATCTAGGCAAATTTCAGTTTAACACAATCAGTAATAGGAAAACTCATTCATCCTTTTCATGAGGTAAAACATTCTGTAATCTATTCGATTAGATTCGAAGTATGTCCTCATAAAAGGCTCACCTTATCTCATGAGTTCACTTTTGTTTTTATTGAAATGTGATATACTGTACACACCTCAGCACTGATTAAAAGTCTCCAAATTTTGTGAAGAAGACATTCACTAATGATGTAAACAACAAAACCTCTTACCTCTGCCTCTGCCTCCTGAGCACGGGCTTGAAAGGTCAGTGTGTCTGTCCAGATGATTGTTAGAGAGGACAACAGCTGAGCATCCAGTGAGGTGAGGATTGTTCCTGAGGACACACACATTCAGAGTGAGCCTCTATTCATCCAGCACACACTGAGGCTGTTCAGCAGCGTTTGTTTGCAGGGTAAATGAAAATACAGATGTGTGCAGTCCGAACAAAAGAGCAGTCATGAGCCTTCTGGTGTTTGCCAGTGAAAATGCCATCTAATCTCACTGCCCTGTGATCAGCATCCATTTTAAATGCACAAGCAGCTTCAAATGGATCAAAATAATCTAGTGTCATTATACAAATTAACTAGTGTATATACCTCATTTGCATACTTGTGAACTGAAACCAGTACTTACGATCCAGCTCTTCAGCAAATCCTGCGTTAGATCAGATTATGATAATAATAATATTGGTCCGATCAGGTTTAATGAATGATAATAGACTGGTAACTGATTATAGAAATGATCAATAGTCGGATGCTCGTGCGCTGTTGTCTGCGGAGATCGAGCTCTCCGTTATAACTCAAAACAGGAAGCTGCCGGATGAATCCACGTGTCTGTCAGAGCTGAGGCTTAAAGGCGCAGCGACCATTAAATTCAAGCCCCGCCCCTTTTTAGCGCTGCGCTCGTTGTCTTCTGTCTCCCGGTTAGTATTTTCCATAAACTGTATAAAAACATGGATGTAGTGTCCGTGACGTCACCCGTAGTTTTCCGAAGAGCCATCTTCGCAGCGCGTCACCGCGCGTCACTCCCGGATAATCGTAAATGGGCAAAGAGGTGGGAGCTGGTTGCTGAAACCACGCCCACCTAGCTCGACAGTGGTGACAGCTTCACCAGAGAGAGCGGGAGGTTGCTGCTTGGTATTTTCACAGCTTGAAGGTAAGGTCGTATGAATTTATGAATGAACCGCTCTTTTAAAAGTTAACTCTACAATAAGTAATGTTAAATCCACTTCACCAGCGATGCTATTGAAATATACAGAGCTACTGAAAAAAACGACGTTCTCAGACAAAATTCTACAGATGGCTGCACACTTGTTTCTTTAAGGCATAAGGTCTATAGACTGTATACTGTATGGAAGCCCTTTTCCGCCACGGAACAAAAGCACTAAAAAAGTAATCGCAACAATTTATCTCACAATTCAAACTTTTTTTTTCTGAATTAACTCAGAATTGCGACTTTATAAATCGCAACTGAGCGATATAAACTCGCAATTCTGAGAAGAAAAGTCCGAACTGAGAGATGAAAAGTCCCAATTGCCTTTTTTATATTTTTTTATTGTGGTGTGAGATGTGAACTAAGAATTGCAAGAAAAAGTCAGAATCCTGCATTTATATCTTGGAATTCTGAGTTTATGTCTTGCAGTTCTCACTTTTTTGTCAGAATTCCAAGAAAAGAAAGAAAAAAAAACACTCTGAATTGTGAGATATAAACTAAGAATTGTGAGGGGGAAAAGGCAGAATTGCGAGATTAAAAAGTTCCAATTATCTTTAATTTTAAATAATAAATGAATAAATAATAAAATAAAAGGAATAAAAATAAAAAGAATAAATAAAAACAGAATCCTGAGATGTAAACTCAGAACTGTGAGAAATTTTTATTTCATTTATATCATTTATATAGTTATGTGACTTTTTTTTGTCAGAATTGCAAGGAAAAAAGGTCTGAATTGTGAGATAAAAAGTCACAATTACCTTTTTATTTATTTATTTATGTATTTATTCCCAGTGGTGGAAACCAGGGCTTTCATTATATTTCCAACTTTTTAAAAAAATGTACTTTGTATGTTTAATTCAGAAAGTTATGTTTGGTTATTATGTCTTGAAATAAATAATTGTTTTGCATTTTTAATTTGAATTTTATTCATAAATGTCTTTACTTTTGGCAGTTGGATCAAATAATGCAAAAGAATCTGGTTCATTCATCAGTGGAAGGTCAAGTACAGTGCTCTGCTTATTTACTGCACATTTAGTAGCCTATCTGAGTATTTAGCGTATATATAGAAAACTTGCATGGCACTATGCTATTCTGAACATATCTATAAACAGTTCTCAATCTTTCAGTTTCATCATTGTCACACTGATTTGCACATAAATGTATACATTTTTACAACCTAATGTAAAACATAAAGGCTGCAGTTCCATCATCTGCCACTTTGAATGCTTGCACCCTTTAAACATTTTTTTTTTTTCGAAAGATATTAATACTTTTATTCAGCGAGTATGCATTCAATTGATCAAAAGTGACAGTAAAGGCATTTATAATCTTACGTAAGATTTCTATTTCAAATAAATGCTGTTTTGAACATTATATTCATCAATGAATCCTGAAAAAGTCAGTTTCCACAAAATACGAAGCAGCACAACTGTTTTCAACATTGATAATAATCAGAAATGTTTCTTGAGCAGCAAATCAGCATATTAGAATGATTTCTGAAGGATCGTGTGACACTGAAGACTGCTGAAAATTCAGCTTTGCATCACAGGAATAAATTACATTTGAACATATATTCAAATAGAAATTAGTTATTTGAAATTGTAATAATATTTCACAAAATTACTGTTTTGACTGTATTTTTGATCAAATAAATGCAGCCTTGGTGAACAGAAGAGACTTCTTTCAAAAAATATTAAGTCTTACCATCAGCAAACTTTTGAATGGTAGTGTAGGTCATTTACATATAGAAGAAACAATAATGTACAGTATGTGGAAAATAATGTTTTTTTTTAACCTTAAACCGCATAAACACATTTCATTATACTAAATACACAAAATAACGTTCTTTTTAGCAACATCATATGACCCCTTTAAAGGAACAGCAGCAAAAACAGCATTTTCATCAAAGTGTCAGAGAGAGAGAGTGTGTGTGTGTGTGTAAAATGGCCATAAAACACTAAATTATGACTGTTTTTGGCGCAAAAAACCTTATAAATAGGTTTACTTCAGCTAAAACAAAAATGGCTCCTTTAATGTAAAAGTGAGTCATTTGATACTGCATAGGATCTACTGACGTGACCCGCAATGCACAGTTCTGCAGGAGAAACCACACTGTCTCCATGTAGATGGTATTAGATAGTAGATGTACTTCCTGTTTATTCTCCTGACTGTTCTGTAGCTTGTCTTCTTCAAGTAGAGCTATATCGCCACCTCTAAAGCAAATGATCCCAGATCAGCTATAAATGAAAAGACATTTGTCACAGAGCAGATGGATATGAGGTCACCTGTCTCCTCTGTTCCCTTTCAGTCGGTCACTCTCGACGTCACGTTGGATGACCGACGAATTGGGATCTCGCTTAGAGAGACCAATCTACTTAGAGTGTAAACTAAACGAGCCAATGCACATTGGCATGCGATTATTGCATCCAGCTGCCGCTGATCACAGCGTGAGTATAAGTAGGCAGCAGATGCAGCGCATATTCAGCTTTTCGCTTCGGAGCCGAGCGATCACATCGTTCTGCTCCTGACTACT